TGGATCATGAGAGTAAAACCAGAAATTTCTAGGCCTCTTATGTCAGGGTGGAAACTACATAGCACATTTCCAGTGAATTGTGTTTTTCAAAGCAAATACGATCACTATGTCAGCTAAGATTTAAGGAAAAGAGCAACATATTGCTTCTCTTGATGGGAGGAATAGCATGTGTATACAGGAATAAGAGAAATTGTTGGCAGCTGTCTTTGCTGATGGTCTACTGCAGTTCTTCCTCTGGTGGACAATTCATGTTTCTCTAACATGTCATATACACCCAGCCCTCTCAGGATGTTCAGAAATCTTGCCTACTATGACCCCAAGCTCAGAATCTATTATGATCTCCATCAAGTTAGGATGTGAATGAGGCTCCTTGAGTGTGGGTCCTCTTTTTGGGGGGAAGGGGGCGGGGCAGGAGGCAGGGAAGAGTCTCAGCTCTGTTGCCCAGGCTGGAGTGCAGTGGCATGATCATTGCTCAACTACAGCCCCCACCTCCTGGTCTCAAGCAATCTTCTCACCTCAGCCTCCCAAAGCAATGGGATTATAGGCATGAGGCACTGTGCTCGGCCTCTTTTTTTTTGGTAAGAGACAGGGTCTCATTCTGTCACCCAGGCTGGAGTGCAGTGGCACAATTATAACTCACTGTAGCCTTGAACTCCTGGGCTCAAGGGATCTTCCTACCTCAGCTTTCAAAGTAGTAGTACTACAGGTACTACCATATCTGACTAATTTACTACCTAATCTGGCTAATTTTAAAAACATTTTCTTAGAGACGGGGTCTAACTATGTTCCTCAGGCTGGTCTTGAACTCCTGGCCTCAAGTGAGCTTCTTGCTTCAGTCTCCCAAGTAATGTCTTAGTTATCTATTGCAGCATAACAAATCACTTCAATGTATGTATTTTTTTCTTTTTTTAAAAAATTAAAAACTTTGATTTTTGTGGGTGCATGGTGTATATGGGGTACATGAGATGTTTTGATACAGTCATGCAGTATAAATATTCACACCATGGAGAATGGGTTATTAAATACTTTAAGCATTTATCCTTAGTATTACAGACAATCAAATTATACTCTTAGTTACTTAAAAATGTACAATTGAGTTACTGACTATAGTCACCCTGTTGTGCTATGAAATACTAGGTCTTACTTGTTCTTTCCATTTTGTTTTGTATCCATTAACCATCCCCACCTACTGCGCAGGCCTCCACTATTCTTCCCAGCCTCTGGAAACCATCCTTCTACTCTCCGTGTCTGTGAATTCAATAATTTTGATTTTTAGGTCCCACAAATGCGTACTTTTTCACTTACGATTCTATAGTTAGGAAATTTAGTTGGGTCAGTGGAGATAATTTGTCTCTGTTTGATCTGCTGTCATTTGAGGCAGCTTGGCTAAAGACTCCAAGATGTCCTAGCTTCCTCTCTGGGGCCCATGGTGCTGGTTATCTTCTTGAGGCACATCAGTGTTCATCCTGGTTCTCATCTGTCTCTGCCTGTTGACACTCACCCTTCAGGGCTTCTCTCTTCACATGCTGCACCCTCTCTAGCAGGATGGCAATTGAGCAAAAGTAGAAATTTCCAGCCCTCTTAATATCTAAGGGTAGAACTGGCACAACATCACTTATTCCCCATTCTCCTGGTCAAAGTATGTCATAAGGCTAAATCAAGGAGAGGGAACTACAGATGCTACTTTTGATGGGAGGAGTGACATTGAGCATTGAGAGGAAGAATTTTTGGTGATTAGATTTGTAGAAACTGTGGTTAAATACTTGAGGGGTTATTTGTATATAAGTCTTTGTTCCTTCCATGGTAGTTCCCTAATGTTTACTGCCTGGAGCAGCTGGTCTTCACCATGTCTGCTGTGCTAGCACAGTACCTGGTATATAAAAAGATTTCAGTAATTAATTGTTCAATGAATTAGTAACTATTTTGCCATTTTCAATACTTTAATTAAATATTTTTTCCAAAAAGTGGATCAAATGGTTTTTTCTTAAATTACCTTTTTTAATTTTCAAAAAATAAAAAATTTCTGAATCATCTTTGGCTATAAATATATATTTTTTAAAACTGCTTTTCTTGTCATGAACGTATTTTCCTGTCATTTTTTACTTCATTTTGTTGGTTATATATAAGACTTTCTAGTAAAGATCCTTGTAGTACTTTAATCAATTCTTGACCATTTAACTTTTAAGCTTTCCCCTCATTTTTCACTATTATAAACCACATTATGTATTTAAAAAAATAGTTATGTCTAAGATATTATTTAAACTTCTGCATGTTTTTAATAGATTTAAAAATTATATTAGAGCTTTTAAAAAATAGTAATATAAAAAAGAAAACATAAAATGACTCATGATCTCATTTCTCTCTACTGACAAAAAATATGTGTACGTGGTTAGAAAATGTAAGTAGAATCAAGAAGTACAAAATGAATGGTGGAAGACTCTGGTTCTACTTAGCTTGTGTTTACTGTCAGTAAAAGTTTTATGCATACATTAACATTTTTTGCATATGTGTTTGTGTATATATGTAAAATTCATACATACACATGTTTATGTTAAAACATATAAACAAGAGATCATGTCTTATGCACTTTGTTATGTTTTGTCCATGTAGTAAAAAAAATTTTTTCTTATGATTACTTTTTCTTTTATATGTCACCATATATTATCTTCTATATTGAAATGCATAATTTTACTATTCTAAGTA